AGAAGGATCTGGTTACAAGTCTCATTGAATAAGAAAACTCATTTTGGTTTTCAATGCAGCACGCGATGCATCGAAAAACAGGGCACGGATTCTCTTTGCCAACGCGGAATTTCAAACATATCCAGACAAAGAAGGATCTGGTTGAAATTCCCATTACCTAAGAAAATCCATTTTGGTTTTCAATGCATCGCGCGATTCGTCGACAAGCCAACTAAGGATTCTCTCTGTCAAGGAGAAATTTCCAACATATCTAGAGCAAGGCGGATAAGATTCAAAGTCTCCACGGAATAAGATGCTGCATGTTGTTTGTCGGTGGATCGTGTGGTTATACATTTTCATTGAATAAGAAAATCCATTTTGGTTTTCAATGCAGCACGCGATGCATCGAAAAACAGGGCACGTATTCTTTTTGTCAACGCGGAATTTCAAACATATCCACAGAAAGAAGGATCTGGTTGAAATTCCCACTGCCCAAAAGAATCCACTCTGGTTTTCAATGCATCGCGCGGTTCATCGACAAATGAACCACGGATTGTCTCTGTCAACGATGACTTTCAATCACATCCAGAGAAAGACGGATAAGATTGAAATTCCCATGGAATAAGATAGTCCATGCTGTTTTTCGGTGCTGCTGAACGTGCTGCTACGCTTTGCGATCTCCCGTTCCAAATTTCAACTTCTTGCTCCCCGAGTGCTCCGTGCTGCAGGGCTGCTGTGACAACACCCCAACGTTGCAAGTCTTCAACCTGTTCACTTTCCGTTGCCCGTTGCCATGCATGCTGTGACAACGCCACATTGGTGGATGTTAAGGCCCATCGACCAGTCCGCAAGGCAACCCCATCGACATGGACGGGCTGAGGCAGTGCCGAAGCTTCTCCAGGTTGGGACTGCTGAGCGTGCTGCTACGCTTTGCGATCTCCCGTTCCAAATTTCAACTTCTTGCTCCCCGAGTGCTCCGTGCTGCAGGGCTGCTGTGACAACACCCCAACGTTGCAAGTCTTCAACCTGTTCACTTTCCGTTGCCCGTTGCCATGCATGCTGTGACAACGCCACATTGGTGGATGTTAAGGCCCATCGACCAGTCCGCAAGGCAACCCCATCGACATGGACGGGCTGAGGCAGTGCCGAAGCTTCTCCAGGTTGGGACTGCTGAGCGTGCTGCTACGCTTTGCGATCTCCCATTCCAAATTTCAACTTCTTGCTCCCCGAGTGCTCCGTGCTGCAGGGCTGCTGTGACAACACCCCAACGTTGCAAGTCTTCAACCTGTTCACTTTCCGTTGCCCGTTGCCATGCATGCTGTGACAACGCCACATTGGTGGATGTTAAGGCCCACCCACCAGTCTGCGAGGCAACCCCATCGACATGGACGGGCTGAGGCAGTGCCGAAGCTTCTCCAGGTTGGGGCCGCTGAGCGTGCTGCTACGCTTTGCGATCTCCCGTTCCAAATTTCAACTTCTTGCTTCCCGAGTGCTCCGTGTTTCAGGTCTGCTGTGACGACACCCCATCGTTGCAAGTCTTCAACCTTTTCCGTTGCCCGTTGCCCGTTGCCATGCCTGCTGTGACAACGGCACAATGGTGGATGTTAAGGCCCACCCACCAGTCCGCGAGGCAACCCCATCGACATGGACGGGCTGAGGCAGTGCCGAAGCTTCTCCAGGTTGGGACTGCTGAGCGTGCTGCTACGCTTTGCGATCTCCCGTTCCAAATTTCAACTTCTTGCTTCCCGAGTGCTCCGCGTTTCAGGTCTGCTGTGACGACACCCCACCGTTGCAAGTCTTCAGCCTTTTCCGTTGCCCGTTGCCCGTTGCCATGCCTGCTGTGACAACGCCACAATGGTGGATGTTAAGGCCCACCCACCAGTCCGCGAGGCAACCCCATCGACATGGACGGGCTGAGGCAGTGCCGAAGCCTCTCCAGGTTGGGACTGCTGCGCGTGCTGCTACGCTTTGCGATCTCCCGTTCCAAATTTCAACTTCTTGCTTCCCGAGTGCTCCGTGTTTCAGGTCTGCGGTGACGACACCCCGACGTTGCACGTCTTCAACCTTTTCCGTTGCCCGTTGCCCGTTGCCATGCCTGCTGTGACAACGCCACAATGGTGGATGTTAAGGCCCGCCCACCAGTCCGCGAGGCAACCCCATCGACATGGACGGGCTGAGGCAGTGCCGAAGCTTCTCCAGGTTGGGACTGCTGAGCGTGCTGCTACGCTTTGCGATCTCCCGTTCCAAATTTCAACTTCTTGCTTCCCGAGTGCTCCGCGTTTCAGGTCTGCTGTGATGACACCCCAACGTTGCAAGTCTTCAGCCTTTTCCGTTGCCCGTTGCCCGTTGCCATGCCTGCTGTGACAACGCCACAATGGTGGATGTTAAGGCCCACCGACCAGTCCGCGAGGCAACCCCATCGACATGGACGGGCTGAGGCAGTGCCGAAGCTTCTCCAGGTTGGGACTGCTGAGCGTGCTGCTACGCTTTGCGATCTCCCGTTCCAAATTTCAACTTCTTGCTCCCCGAGTGCTCCGTGTTTCAGGTCTGCGGTGACGACACCCCGACGTTGCACGTCTTCAACCTTTTCCGTTGCCCGTTGCCCGTTGCCATGCCTGCTGTGACAACGCCACAATGGTGGATGTTAAGGCCCACCCACCAGTCCGCGAGGCAACCCCATCGACATGGACGGGCTGAGGCAGTGCCGAAGCTTCTCCACGTTGGGACTGCTGCGCGTGCTGCTACGCTTTGCGATCTCCCGTTCCAAATTTCAACTTCTTGCTCCCCGAGTGCTCCTTGTTTCAGGTCTGCTGTGACAACACCCCAACGTTGCATGTCTTCAGGCGCGACGTGTGCTGTGGTGCTGCTCGTCCTGATTTTTGCCGCCGTGGTGGGCATGCGCTGTGTCACGCTGATGTTTGCTGCTGCCTTCGTGCTCAAGCCCCAATTCAATCATGGCGTCCGCGGCGTCTGACTCCGATAGCCATGCCGACGGATGGCACCAGATGGCCGCACCTTGTCTGCAGACATGTTTTCTTTGGGCCATCTCGAGGAACCCAGCTTTTGTGCCTGCGGATTGCTGCTGTCAGGCCTACGTCCTTGACGTGCTGAAAGGCAAAGGGAAGGGTTGGTTTCCTGGACCTCCTCGTCCAGGACCCCCCCCTGCAGAGCCCCCGCCGCCACCTCCGGTTGGCCCTGTGGGTCCGGCGCCTCCGGTGCCGGCACCGTTACCCGCAGGACCTATTGGGGATAAGGGCTCTTACAAGGGGACCGATGGCTGCAGCAAGGGCTCTTGCAAGGGGAACGACGATGAGCCGGATGTCACAGAGGGTAAAGGGAAGGGTGGCAAAATGAGGCCGCTAGAGCCCGCTGTACCGCCCGGACGACCGAAAGCGAAAGCCATGCCTGGCCGGTCCACCGGTCAATGGGTGCAATGTTGGATGTGGATGCCAGGAAGTGGCCCCCCATATGCACCCTGCCCCCCTTCAGACGTGATTGCGGCCCGGCCGCCGGGACCTGGGTTTGGCAACGAAGTCGTGTCTTGGTGAATTTGGTATACACAGTTGTGGGATAGCACTGCGTAGGCCTCTTTTTTTGAACCGGATTTTCCGCACCCCTGCTGCCTTGTTCACAAACAACTAAGGAAGTCGAGGAAGAGTCGCCAGACCGTCCGGGTTTCACAGCGTCGACGGCGGCGGCGGCGGATGCATTACCTCCTCCTCCTGGCCCTTCGTCGCCGCGTGCGGCAGCGGAGGCTTGCAGACGCAGAGGCTAGATGTATTGTCGAAAGCATGCAAGCATAGCGCCTGGTTGACGCATTCTGTGGTATTGTTGTCTCTCTGCAGGTTCCACTGAGAAGCGCGAGTCTGAACAGAGAAAGCGCCGCAATAATGAGAGGAAGCGGCGGAGCAGAAGCAGTCACCGGCGTCGTTGATGCCATTATGGGCATCTATCCCTTTGGGGTCTTCTGCCTGTCACGCCTGCTGCGTTTTTTTGAAGCCTATACAGCAGCTGTAAAACATGACAGAGCGTTTTTACTCCTGTGCGTTTTTTTCAAACCGACCTGTTGCTGCACAGCCGTAAAACAAAAGAAATACCGAGTGCGCACCCACACATGAGTCTTTCTGTCTTTTCAAAGTTCATTTGCAGCACTGCAACGAACTTGGCGAAAGCAACGGATTTCCCCAGATGACATGCTTTATATTTTGTTCCCGCAGGTCATCGCAGGGCGAGCCTTTACGTGGTCGCAATCGGCGTCGTGCTGCTGCTGCGCCGCCTGTCCATGAACGGTCGCTTGGAGATATTTGGTCCCTCTGGGTGTCCTTTGCGATTTGATTCGGTGCGAACGCTTCTTTCTCCTTGGTGTGTTGCCCCTGCATCCGATACGCCTGTTCCTCCGCACTGCTCGTCTTCAATTCTCGCGCCTCCACCCGATGCACCCATTCCCTCGCTAGCTCTGCGCCCCGACGCCTCTACCTCAACCAGTGCTTGCCGTGCGCGCTTGCAAACGCTACACTCTGCTACTGCCTGTACCTCGCTTTGCCTGCCGGCACCCTACCTGCACTTCGCCGCTTTTAATTTTCAGTCTTCTATGCTGTTCCGTATCCTGTCCTCGAACTCACAGGGACACTGCCAGCTGCCACATTCTTGCAACTGCACGCTCCGTTCACCTGGTTTTGCTTCCCCGTGTTCATTGCAGCTTTCAGCCGGTAGCTACATGTAAGCACACCATGTCCACCTGCTCAGGTCTCCTTTTTCTGTTTCTGATGCATCAATGTTTTGCATGCAGTTGCTTGGATCCTCGCCGCTCTTCCATTTCAGATGAACATGACTGAAGCTGACTATTATATCAATCTGCCAATATAGGCCACGTTCTGTTCTCAAGTCTTTTGTTTTGCAACCTAAGCACCACATGGTTTGCCATCACTTCTGCCCACTACACACTTACTACCTTGTATCTTCAAAATCACATCACCTAGTTTTCTCCGCCAACAATGGCTGCCTGATGTCCTCTTGCCCCCATGGCTACTTTCTGCGCCGTCTATCGCGATCGCCGCTATCCGCTGCGATGTCCCGTGAGCCGCGCCCGCGAGCTCGAATTTCTGCTCACCTCGTTGCATCAGCGGGACAGCGTGGTGCGGGGACAGTTGCTCTATGGCCAGTTTGCTGCCATCATGGATGCGCTCGGCTATGTCGTCTCCACTAGCACACCGCCACCGGAAACCACTCTGATCCAGATTCGACGTCTTTACCGCGGTCACAGCTTTTCTCTCCAAGTGCCACTGCCAGCATTCTTCCACTGCACACTGGCGATTGAGGAATTGCTCGCGGAACCCGCAGTTCGGGGCCAGCAGGTGGACGTTGCTGACCTTCGCTCGCGTTTTCAGCGTCTCATTGTCCCATGCTCGGCCTACTTACCTGCATTCTTTGCATGGAACCGGTTTTGGAGCATCCCTTCAAACATTGCCCGGCCGTATGACGAATTCACCCGTCTGGCACAAACGCTGAGTGGTGCAGAATCCGTTTGCGGCCCACGTGCCTCCCGCCGAAGCTTCGAACGAATATGGAGCACCTGTTTGCAGCTGTGTGATCCCACACCTTCGCAACTACAACTCTCTTGTCGGCTTCATGGTCGCGATTGGCGCATGGTTGTTGATCGCGCGAATGCACTAGCTGCTCGCCTAGCCATAGAATCACTCCTGCAAAACCCGCCAGTGGACAAAGCCGCCATGCAAGTGGCGTGGTGCCAGTGCTGCTCCGATGCTGACGCCGCTGTTGCGATACATATCCCTGATGTCGCTGCCTTTGTGTCCCTCGAGCGGAACTACAGCAATGCGCCTGCTGCCCACGAGCCATTGCATTTTGCCACTGATGGTGTGCCCAACGACAGTCTCGCTATGCTGCATTCTGGCTCTCCAGCTCCCCGCGCTCCATACTGGTGCCGCTTCTGCGATACAGCATACCTCACAGACAGTGCTTGGCAAGAACACCTCTTAGAGCATGGAGGCTTGTGCGCCTACCGTGCCAGCTTATTGCATGCGGCTGGATCCTCCTGGCCTGCTCCGATCCAGCCTCGCATCCTCCGGCACATCGTCGAGGGGTATGCTGCCCGCTTCCACCAGACAGTCAGCACCCGAGAATCTCTTTGTGCATGCTGTGCGACAGGCAGCCGCACAGTTGACGTCGCAGACGTGGATCTTCGCGATCTGGCAGATTTGTCCCAGTTGGATGCCTTGTTCTCCGCACGTGCCTACTTGCTTCGCCTTCAGGCCAGCTATCCTGTCGACAACACCAGTTTCGTTGGCATTCCTTGGCCCGTGCTTCGCGCCGTCTGTGTGCCTGTGCCGCACATGCAACAACATGGTCCTATTGCTGCTCCACGAGATCCGGATGACGGCTGGCTCCTGCACGTCCGTGGTACTTATGTGTCGGAGTGGGCTCATGCTGCCAACACCACGCACTTACCTCTCGTGTTGCCGCTTTGCGCCCAGTGCGTTGCTCATCTTCAGCGTCACAATCCAAGACTGCCACCCGCTGCCCTCGCCAATGGCAACTTAGCACTTCCCATACCTGGCGAACTTCAAGGCTTGACTCTTGCAGATGAATTGTTTCTAGCGCGCGGCTACACTGTGCACCGCCTCCAAACCATGCCTGGCCCGACAGCTCCCACTGACCGGCAAAGTGCACTACGCGGGAATACGATCAGCTTCCCGCAGAACAGTGCCACAGTCTTTGAGTCCTTGCCTCGCTCCATTGCCGCGGCTTCTGACGTGCTGACCGTGCTCTTCCCAGACGAAAGCTTGCAGAACCTCGCTGCCTGCCCGGAATATATGGTTTCTCGGGCCCGCGTGCACCAGGCTTTGCTGTGGCTGGTGCGTCACAACCCTTTCTATGCTGATGTTCTGGTTGATGCTGACGCCCTTGCATCCCTCCCAGCCGATGGTCCGTTGCCTGGCGTTGGTGTTCGTGCGGCCGCTGCCGATGTTGGCCTTGCTGTTGGTCCCGCTGATGCACAACAAGAAGGGCCCACTGTCGCAGGCATGCCGTTGAACGCCGCAGTCTTGGACACTGAAGGCGAGGGGCTGCTACCCCGTGATCTGCGGCAAGAAGCTTTGTCTCCTGGATCTGAGCCTGAGCATCCTGTTGTGGTACTACCCCATGGAGCGACCCCGCTGAGCACCTTTGATGTTGCCTACTGGACATGGTGTTTTCCGCTGCTCTTCCCTTACGGGGACTGCCTGCCTGCTACTGCACGGCTGACTCCGTTTTCTTTGAAAGCATGGTCCAAGCACCTGCTCCTGCGTCGCGACCGGCTCGGCTCTGAACGTCCTTGGGCAGAAGATATCCACTTTCTTGCAACCCTCTTCAGTGTGCTTCATCGCAAAGACCTTCTCCAAGCTGTTCGTGCGAAGATCTCTGCTCCAGGTTTTGCGCGCCAAGCCCATGACTTTGGCCGCGTCACTACCACAGACTTTGACTTGCTGGCGCACGTCCTTGGAGAGACTGGCACCGTTCGCAATGCATTGCGTGCCTTGGCTTCGAGTCGTTACACTGCTTAGTTATATACCCCTACCCAGGTGTTCGATTTCAATGCATTCCTTGCTCGTGCGTTTGCCTCCTTCACCTTGCATCCCTTGCCCTTACGAGGCAACGCTGCAATTCCCCCACATTTGAAAGTCGTGCTGAAAAACATGCAGTTGGTCGCTCGCTCCGTACCGTGCACTGACGCATTTCGCGACGGCATGCGTCACCAGGTTCGAGCATTGCAGCTATGGCAGGGCCTGCCTGCTATGTTTGTTACCCTCAACCCTGCCGACGTGAAACACCCTTTTACGCTGCAATATGCCCATTCTGGTTGCTTGGTACCGCCGGATGAGGTTGATCCAGATGGTGCTTTGCGAAGCGCATTGGCAGCCGCTAATCTGGCACATATTGTCGCAACCAATCCCATTGCAACAGCACAAGCCTTCCATCAACACATCGTGTTCTTCTTTGAGGAGCTGCTTGACATTGCTGTTTCCCCAGATGCAACCTTTCCAGACGGCCTTGCTACGCGCTTCGGTGGCGGTATTTTTGGCCCTGTCAGCGCTGTGTATGCCGTCACGGAGCCCCAGATGAGAGGTAGCTTGCACTTGCACATGCTCATCCACCTGTATGGCTTCCATACCGCTGCTGCGCTCCTAGATCGTTTCCGTGCCAGCCTTCCATGCCTAGCTTCCCGTCTGCTCCGCTGGAGCGAAAGCGTCATGCTGACAGCTTTGGAACCATTGCCATCGGTCTTGCAAGTGCCAGCTGCCATGGACACTTTCCGTGGCCTGCAGCCGCTCCCATTGCCAGACAAGCAGCGTACGTTGCTGCAGGAATATGTGGGCGCTACATGGGATTTTGACACCTTCTCCACGCATTGGTGCCCTGCTGCCGAGGACCCGCTGCCAACTACGCCTCCATGGCTTGACCTCTTCCATGATGCTGCTAACTCGTTGTCTTCCTTTCTGCCATGGCCGCGCGCACAGTTGTACCTGCCGCCTCCTGCGCACACAGCAGATGTTTGGACAAAGATGCTCCTCTTTGACTTGCGACATGCGGCATTGCATTCCTGCTTGCATGAATGTCGCCCAAAGACTTGCCACAAAGGTAAGTTGGGACGCCATGGTTTTTGCAGGTTGGGCTTCTGGCATTGGCGTGATGTCAGTGCATGGGTCGAAGCGGATACCTGGCAACGATGCCATGGAAAGGAACTCCGCGCCCGCTGCTCCATTGGCCACAGTCCAAACAATGTGGGAGAGCTTCTTTCTGTGCGGCACCATCCCTTTCATACCCGGTTCAATTGGTGTCACTTGCATGCAATGCGACAAACGTTCAATCTCCTTGCACCTGATAACCTCCTAGTTCTCGTCCTTTTCAAACAGTTGTGCTGCTCCATCTGTGTGTGTGCTTTATACATAAACTCTCTATCTGTACATGTGTTATGACATGCCTGCTTCTCTCGGCGTCTTGGCGCTCACACACTGCTTCCCCCGCTTTAATCTAGCAGTAGCTGGTCATAGTAACGAAGTAAAAGCGCAGCCAGTAAGTTCTTCCCCGACGGTCTTTGCCGTTTTCGACCCCTTTTCAAGATGTTCCCGTGCAATTGGTCAATCCACATTCTTTACCGCCCGCCCTTGCGCTAACCTCCCTGCCAGGTATCCTTGCTTGTTGCCGCTGCAACCATGATGTTTCCCTTCTAGTTCGCGGTCCTGCCACCGACATGGTCGCTGACACCAGCATAGCCTCGCTCGCAAGCCAGATGTCTGAAGCAACCAAGCGTGCAACCCATTATATCACAACCTACATGACCAAAACCCAACCGCACCTGACCAACTTATGGCTTCTTCTTCGTCGCGGCTTGGATGAGTTGCACACCGAACTCACGGAGCACAGCAATCCCCTGGAGCCGCGGTATGTCGCCTCTCGTTCCATCATGCGAATGCTCACTGCCTCTGAACGACGTCGTCACAAATCCATGGCTGAAATCTGTCACTACCTTCTCGATCACCCAGAAGCATACACAAATGCCCGCTTTCGCAAGTTGTTCACCACGAACCTGGTCCATCGCGCCCTGACCAACATCCCGGTCCCGAGCTTGCAAGACATGGAGCCCGAAAGCGCCTTCTGGTTTCGCCGCCCAGATGCTGCCGAACCCAACGGTGACCTTGACCATGCTGACGCCACCCCTGAGCATGTCGATCTCGTTCCTGGCCACCAAGAAACAGATTATCTCCTTCGCGGCGCTGCCTTAGCCGATTGGCCGCTGTACTTCTATGTTGCGGCCGTTGACCGCTGCGGTGGCTTGCGCCTCACCGACGAGTGTGCGCACGCTGCATTTGACCCTGCTCACCCTGATGCTGGTCGTATGGTGCAGCGCATCCGCCTTTGCAAGGCATGGTTCGTTCCCCAGCTGGCAGGCATCTCGTTGCCTGCTCCTGACAAAGACATCGCGCTTTTCAGCCTTCTCATGCTCCTGCTCCTGAAACCTTGGTCTTCCGCAGACATGTCAGATTTGTTGCTCGTGGATGGTGTTCAACATGATTCGTGGGCTGCAGCCCTGCTTGCTTTCAGAACCCAGCTTTCTGAATTTGCGCCAGCCGCCGGTGTTCGCGCCGCGCCTTTCACGCATGAGTATTGGGCGCAACGTTCCCTGGCATGGTTACTCGCCCCCTATAGCTTTTCCATTTCATTGTTACCTTTTGTCCCAGGCCAGTTTCCTATCTTAGGCTCGTTGCACATCTTGGAGCATGCCGACGCCATTCTTTGTCATCCTCCTTTGATTAACGAGCTAGCTGCCCCAGGGCATGTGTTGCAGACAAGCGGTGACCTCACCTACAATGGCCCTGCTTCCGACGATGAAACTGCAACTGATGACAGCTACGCGGCAGATGATCCTGACGAGCTACGTTTCCTTGACGTGGCGCCCGAACGCTGCTTCCCGCTGCAATGGGACAGCTTGGCAGCTGGTGCCAGGACCCAGCAGATATCATGTGCTACCTCATCTCAAGCCTCTTACGCGCTGTCCGTTGACCAGGCCTTGCTCCATCTTCAATCTCCAGACCACAGTGCACTTCCAAACTGCCCGCAGACTTCCCACTTGGCAGCGGCATCCGTTACCCAGCTACGCCGTGATGCACGGCATTGGCTCCAGCTCGCTGACGTTGATGGAACTGATGACGGTGACTGCTTCCTTCCAGGCCCATCACCAGCGCCATGCCCCTCCAATGCCTTGCCATCGATCGACGCCTTGGATCTCGTTGAGCAACACATCCTCCGCGGCCATTGTGCCCAGCGTGACGGCGGGCTGAACTGCAAGCAAGCTATGTTCCTCGTCACCTTTGCCCTCAACCTGCAAGTGCCTCGTCTCACCTGTGTGAACTAGCTTAGGTCCATTGCTCCGTGTCGTCCCCTTAGTCGCATCGATGATACCCAGCAAATCCCTTAACCATAGCAGAACTCTGCGCGATAGCGTTGCCCCACTCCACCCTTTGCCTTTCTTTGCTGCCTTCCTGTGCCGCTTCCCCCACCATGGTGCTGCAACCGCGCGTAGTTTTCATTACTCGCACTTCTTCCCAGCTGTGCTGTTGACCTTTGCTTTCCTTGCCGCGGTGTTTGCCGTTGCTGCTGCCCATCTGCCTGCCCGACCCAACACTCTATCCATGTAACAACGCTTTGGCACCACCCGCATAACTCCGTTACCTTTCCTGCCTCCTCAATTGCTACTGTTCTACCGTCACATGCGTTAAGTGCCAACATCTTCTCCGCATGTTGGGTTATGTCCCTCGCAATTGACCTTTCGCACCGCAGGATCGCCTCGATGCAAAACGCCATGGCGCTTTCGAGGTCCCAGCTCCCGAGCAACTCCTTCTATTGGGGGGGCCCGGCACTGGCAAATCACATGTTCTCCAATATGCATTGAGTTTGGAAGAACGTTTCAACCCTGGAAGCGTCCGCCGCTGTGCGTTTACCAATGCTGCCGCGCGCCTTATCGATGGCCGCACACTTCACTCTGCACTGGCCCTCAACGCAGACGTGGACAAGCCTGCAGCCACTGCTCGCAAGGATGCACTCCTCGCTGCTTGGCGTGCAGCTGGTCTTCTTGCCATAGATGAGGTTTCCATGGTGTCCGCCGAACTTCTGAGCGGCACAGAGCTACGCGCGCAGCAACTCAAGGCCGCACCGGGCATTCCTTGGGGGGGCTTGACCGTGTTGCTCAGCGGCGACTTTCTGCAATTGTTGCCCGTCAAAGCCACTTCCTTACTGTTGCCAGCCTCTGCGGCAGCCCCTGAACATGCAACTCCGGCTGCTCGTGCTCGCCACAAAGATGCTGTTCGGGGCCTTGCACTGTGGCAGAACATCACCACTTGCGTCGTCCTTGATTACACCCACCGCACCTCCGGGTCCCTTCAAGAGTTCCTGGCTGCAATGCGCAATGGATATGTACCCGACCGACTTTGGCGTCTGCTTCTGGATCGCACGTTGCGACAGTCTGACCACCGGCTGAAGGATCCCGTTTTTTGGAACCCTGATGCTTGCTTTGGTGTCCTCCGTCATGCTGCCCGCATCCTCATCGGCTTGCAACGTGCGAAAGCAATGAGCCGCGTAGCCGGACATCGGCTTCTTGTTTGTGCTGCTGCGGACCGGTGCTGGTCCGCCGATCATCGTCCAGTTGTAGACCCTTCGATCTTGCAATATTTGCTGCACATTGCGTCGCTGAACACAACCCGCAATTTTCCGGGCTACCTCTTCTTGTTCCCAGGTACAGTGCTATGTTTGGAAACCAACGTCTCGCAGCAATATGGCCTCGTGCGTGGTTGCCGTGTTGAGGTCGTTGACATCTTGCTGCACGAGCTCGAACCCGTGCCGCAGTACGAGCCGGATCTCGAACCGTACCTCCTCCGCTACCTGCCACGTGGCATTATCGTGCGAGCCGTTGATGCCACCTTCCAACAAAGTCCCTTGCTGCAGCCAGGCGAATTGTTCTTGGAGCCAACCACACGTGACTGGTCGCTTCCGCACCTTCCGACCGAACAGATCCCAGGCATCGACCCGGCCATTTTGCCTGCTGTCACCGCTGGGCCACTTCGTGTTGCTCGGCGACAGCTGCCCTGCACCAACACATTCGCCTGCACAGCATACAACCTACAAGGTCGCACATTGCCGGCAATGATCGCGGATCTTGCCTTGCCGCCTCGAATGAGTTCGGCCACTTGGCAACATTGTTTACTTTCCGTTCCTTCCTTTTTGTTTCGGTTCATTACTCCTTCTGCCCGGCCATACAGCGGTTCCCCTTTTCTTTCTTTCCACGTGGCCGCTACTTCTTCTCAACCCATAATAGACCCTTCGTAATTGAGTCATATACCCACCAATCTCCTTCGTTCAGGACGAATATTGGCTCTCTATTTACGTGCTGCTATCCCGCCTGCCGTCACTGGATTGCTTGCTCCTTCTGCGGGCCCCTGACCGTGCAGCGCTATCTGCAGGGCCACCGGCAGCTTTGCTTGCAGCCTTGTCACGCTTCGAAGACCTGCAGCAAGCAACGTTGATGCGCGTCGACCGTCTCCTTGCTGCGCGGCGCCGGCATGGGCTCCGTGCCTTAGTGACGCAGCGCTTGCTGCAAGCCTCTGCTCCCCCGCCAGACGCGAAGCGCCCGCGACTTTGATGGAAAACAAGCGCCCTTCTTGCTGCGACCGCCGCCGTCTGCTTCCAGATCAACACACCAACACCGAACAACACATTGCTGCCTACAACACTTCATGCAATGTCATGCTCACCCATACCACATAGCCATCGTGAACATGGTGCTGCAGCACGCGACCGCGCAACACAACCTCCGTCGAAGACCCGCGTCCTAATGATCACGCATGCTCGCTCTCCGATGCCAAGTTCATATTGTTGCCACCGTCTACCTAACAACGTCCTTACGCATGACCGTTCCTGGCTACGTTGCTGCTCGTGTCTTCCTTCCAATCTCCGTGTGACCTCCTTGTTCATAGCTGCATGTACCATGCTTTTTTGTGGTATCGCCATCCTGCGGCTCCCAGATCTATGTTTTCAGCAAACATTTGCGACCATCTTTGCGCCAGTGTCTGTATGTGTGTGCGCACCATGTCACTTGCTGTATCCAATTTTCTGACCCTCGGATGCATGACTTCAATTCGACCATCATGTTCTTTTTTTTCCTTTGTCTGATTGTATGCAATGCGGCAGGCTTCACACCACGGTTTGCGGCCTCTGTTTCTTTTTCTCTAACTCTCTCTCAGTCTCTCTCTCTCTCTATCTCTCTCTCTCTCTCTCCCTCCCTCCCTCTCCCCTCTTCCTCCCTCTCTCTCTCTCTCTCTTTCTTTCTTTCTTTCTTCTTTCTTTCTTCTTTTCTTTCTTTCTTTACTTTCTTTCTTTCTTTCGTTCGTTCTTTCTTGCTGTACGTGTCGTGTGTTATGACTCATGCATGCTTCTCTCTGCGACTTCGCACTCGCACGCTGCTTCGTGCACTTTTATGCCTGGGTGTTGATGGGCGTTCGCTAGATCAAAGCGCAGCTCGCTCGCAATCGCGTTTGTCCAAGCCATCGAACATGTGGATATCCATACCCAACTTTTCTTCTTGCACACGACCGTTGCCACATTCGCCACATGTTTCACTGAGGTGTCTGGAGCTGCGTGCCTTCCGATCTTCGGGCTCCGCTGCCGCCCAGCGATTCACAGCTCCCGCGTAGCATGCACTGCGCCGTTGCCTCACTGCGGTGACATATGCAGGTCCTTGATACTCTTTCTCTCGCATGTGTTGGTATACCATTATCTATGTCCATTTTCACGACACTGCCGCGAAATCTCGGCTTATAAGCAGCCATCCTCGCCCGCATGTCCTGCACATGACACAGAATTGCGCATTTCTTTCTCCACATATCCCCACCCTGTACTCCCTGCTGTGCCAGGTTGCCGACGCGACGTTCCACCTGCGTGTTGCGGTGTCTACCTCAGTAGCACTCGTTATGTACATGTTCACGCTGACACTTTCCCAAGCCAGACGGCCGATTCCCTTGGTGACCCGACATCTTTTGCCACAGCCAACATTTCCGTGCATTGCAGCCTGGTTCAAAGCATCGCCTGCCTCTTTGCTCATCTACGCACTCATGGCACCGCGTCGTGTGTCCGCCGCTGCCAAGCCCCGTGCTGCTGCGGCTGCCTTTCCAGCGCCTGCTTCGGCAACTGTAGCGCCCCCGTCTGCCGCTGCTGCTGCCACGCCCTTGCCTGCAGCTGCACCTACACCTAAACCTGCTGTCGCTTCCACCCCGCTTGGTGCGGTGCCCCCCGCTGCTGACACGCGTCCTGCTGCCTCGCCGCCACCCGCAGTTCCTCTTGCTGCACCTGCGCACGCGCCAGCTGATGTCAATAGCGCCCCCCTTGGATCTGCAAGTGTTCCCACGCCCTCGACACCACAGTCTCGTGCGGCGCCCGCCACCCCTGGCAGCCCAGTCCTCGGAACTCCACCGCCAGCTGCGCCGCGGCCTTTCATCATTCGCAAACGTAAGACGCCGCCGCCTTCGCCGATGCCAGCTGGAACCGACGGACCATCGCCCATGGACGTCATCATCGTCAAATACGCTGACGATGGTGCAGCTGTTGCTGAAGAATTTGAAGCACTGCAGCAAGCCTACTTGATTGTGCTTCGCCAATCGCATTCCCGCGCGCGGCCGTCCGTGCTCTTCCAAGTCCGTGAAAACTTGCAGAACTATGTTGCGGCAATGCATCGCGAGAACCCGGCCATGCCACCGTCGCTGCAGGACCTCGTCGCACCCCTAGTCACACCTGCACTGTGCCCGTATGAGCGACTCATGTGATCAAATTATGTCCACCACTGCCATGGATGCTGTTTTCCCTCGCCTTGCGCATCCAGGCATCGGCATGCCAACTTTCTTGGCAATTCGGCGGCCCGCCCAAGTATGCCATTGGCTTATATTCTGGCGATGGGCCTGCCGGACTGCAAGCTGCGATTGGCCACGTTTACGAGTACATGACTTGGCGTCGCTTGGCACCATGCATGCTTGCAGTCTGGCACCTTCCCCTCCCTCTCCATCCCCATCGTTGCCATTCCCTGCCCAGGTTCTTCCCAGATGGAGCGCCCTGATGCCGAGTTCCAGGCGGGCACTGAGCAACAAAACGACGTTACTCGTCACCACACAGTGTGAGTGCCTGCAGGTCACCATGTGGAACCTGCCAGTCCCGCTCGATTTCGAAACACCACGTTGGGCCATTACCTTCCGCGAGGATGTGCCTGCCGACTTTGACATTGGGGATGTGCCTTCCCCGGGCCGATGCCCGCACCTTACCTTGACGTTCTACCCGGCTGGCACTGCTGAGAATACCTTCTTTGCGACTATATCAGGCAATACTTGGCCACTGCGCCATGCCTTGCCGCAATGGGAGCTTTCACGTGGCGAGAAAGGCGGCTGGATTCGCACAAGCAATGTCCTGGACGTCACCACGACCACTGCCCTCGATGAGTTGCGTGACAGCATCACTGGCGGCTACTATCGCGTGTCCTTCGCTGCCGGACTCGCCCCCAACATCCGCGCGGCCGTGGAGGCGATCTTCCACACTGAGTGATCCCTAATTCGTAGCCGGCGAGGAGACGCAACCTCCAATTCCCCAACACCAATGTTCTTTCAACTACCACGGATTTGTCATTGGAACCAGTATAATTACAACTCAATTTGCTTTGTTTCTGCGCTCCTACTGCTGGTTGTTTCAATGCTGACACCCGCGCCACAATTGCGGAAATATCGTTCGCGCCAAGGCATATATGCAACTCATTTGTTCCAGCGGTCGTATAAGTCTACACCTACTCTTTGTGATTGCTGCCAACATCGCCGACAATTGTTTCAAGTTGTTCGTTTGTTTGCTTGCTATCGATGCCTCGGCCACCTTTTTTTTAACCATGTGCGCGGCTGCCTCCGTGCAGCTGCTTGTAGACAACTGACACACGAGATGTGGCGCATCATCCCCGGAGGCTCCGCACGAAAAAGCGCGCTCACATGTGACAACGCGCAACTCCCGTCACATAACAACTCCATGGTAATCATGTTTCTTGTCGCATCAGTCGTGCCTTACGGTTCTTGCCCCAGACCGATCCCATGCCAGGTGCTGCAGGGCTGACAGTGAGCGATGCCGCCACACATATTTGCAACCACCCTTCTTAGCCACCGTCTCTTAGCCATTCAGTCAGGTCACCTTCATACTTCCCAAACCGAGTGTATAATATCATACCATGCCCTCTATACCCTACCGTCATAGCCACATTACCTTTGCCAAGTGTCTTTGCGGATCCAACGTGGGTTTGCGGATCAAACGGTTTTTGTCGACACCCAATGTGGCAGTGTTTCACGCGATCTCACCATTAACCAGTTCACAACTTGCGCCCGCAATGTTGCACCGTGCAGTCATGAGTTACTGGGTTGCCGCTGCTCACCATGGTTTCCGCTGCCGCCCTGCCACTGCAAGCCATTCTATGTCCTACTGCAGCCGTTTCCGTTCGCCCTCTCCGTCTCTCTGCGTTCCTGTGCCATGCTCTGCCGCGCTGCCGCCGTTCTACCCGTGTGGCTTGCTTTGCTGCTCAAAACCACGGCGCTCCTGCGGTTTGCTACCTGCTGCCGTCGCATCCGTGCCGAGCTGACCGAGATCCTTGCTGTGTACCGTGCCGCTTCCTACATTGCTGGCGTCCATCTTCCTGGTTTCGCCCTTGACGACATCCTCCGCATCCGCGTGCTCTTCGCCAGTCCTTGGGAGCCGCCGCACCATCCTTCTCTTCGTGCTCGTGCCCAGGCCACCACCCCCATTCCGACTCTAATATTCTATTTCCCTTTCATGCCCCTTTGTCTTTCATTGCACGCCCGTCAGCAGATATCTTGTGTTGAAACTATGTTTCCCATGTCCCCACCATCTACATGTAACACTTGCCATGGCTGCCCAGGCTGCCATGCACAACTCCTTCAACCACTACGTGGGCATCCCTGACTCGTTTGCGCCGTGGGCCTTCCGCCCCCCTGCCTACTGCAGCCGTGCCGCCAGTAACGCTCCCGCATTTACGCGGTGCACGCCGATCGAACTGCTGCACCATCTCAACCGCCAGCACGCTGATACACCACCCTTCCAAGCGCTCGTCGCTTTTCTTGCCCGCGCAACATGGCTGTACTCCCCATACATCGAGGACCACGGCTTCGACCCGGATTTCAGTGCCATACGTTGCCGCGGCCCTGGCCTGGTGATTGCGGTTCCATGTGGTGGCTTGACGGCTGCCATTTGCTGTCGTTTCACCCCAGCCACCACCATGCGCAAGGTTGTCTGGCCGTGGCTGGCAGAATTTCAAACCTGATTTCCATGTTTGCCGCGTCGCTGGCCACTGACAACTTCGCCCAGCCATGCTATACGCCGGTAGCAAAACAATGACGCGGCTAACTCGATCCTTAACACGTTCTCCCCATTCCAACACCCATTTCTTCGCCTATCACTTCTTTTCACCCTGTAACTGCCGCCGTTCGCCGCCTTGCTCGCTGCCACTACTTGCTTCAGGGCCGGCCCGCGCATGCACGCCGAGCATGAGAGTATCTGCAGCACACGACCACACACACACACGACCACACACACCCCTCCACGCACCTCCCCGCA